GTTAATTTGTTTTTTGTGTAATTTCTGGGATTCAATGCGCAAGATGTCATGGAGGAGCTCGTTGATGGTGAGCAATTCAGGACCGAAAAGTTCTTGGCATGATTTGTTGTAAAGATGGTTATAACTAGTTTGTAAATTTAAATGTTTATGAGACGCTTCAGCGTGTAATAGATCCATCAATTTCACGGAACTACTGTGGAGAATATTATTCCATCTATCCATAAATCTGATAGATTTTTCACCGGTGGTAAGGGGTGAAGCTTTCAAAATAAGCCCCATCGGAACAATACCTTGAGACAGATAAGTTTTTAAATTTGATACATGATGTTCGGTTTTAACTATTTTAAGACTCAAAGCTCTAAGCTTTTTAAAAAAAAGACATAGTTTGCCTGGTGGTAAGGCTGTAAGAAAAATCGGATCGCGTGATAAATCACTCGATACAGACTAAGAATAAAAATATATATAAAACTTCTGAATAATAGTCAACGATTTTTCCCACGAGGGCGCTGGATCGTTACGAGTAACGATACATGTACACAATAAATAAATTATATAAACGCCTAAAAAGTGTACACAACAACACCAATAACAAAAAAAGGAACTATAAATGTAATTATTTATAAATATTTCGGATAACAGATATCCATCATCAGTAAATATGATTGTGATGTTGAATGAATCATATATCAGTCTACTTAAATTAAACTATAACAATCTTGAAATTTATACAATAAAAAAGTCAAACCGAACATCAGGTAAGACGCTTGCACAATTTTAAATATGTGTTAAACACGACATAGGTTATATGACTAATTACAGCCGAGAGTTCAAATATATGCTTTAAATAAAAATAATAATGTGCGATATGAACAAGCACAATTCTAAAGCTTTAACGGTGACGACAGTTATGATGTTACAAGAACGATGCGTCAATAAGAATTCCAAATAAACAGCACTGAACGATCTAAATTTGTAAATATTTCAAATTTGACAACGGTAGAGTAGTTACAACAGAGTCTGCGTATTTAAACATCGCAAACAAACGGCCGTTAAAATATGATAATAAATTTTGACTAAGGTTAACTAGTTGAACGTGGCTTGGCACTTTTACATCCCTCAAAAAATTAAGCAATTTAAATTGGTATATTCAACAGATTTTAGACATGAGTAAAGTAAAGAAATAGAAACAGAGACTGTAATAATAAGTAATATAACCCAAATGTGAAGCACTGCATGGAGTCGAACTACATCTTTTCATTTATCCCATTTGGTGCCAAAGTTGTTAATTTTCTTATCCAAAATCTTTCCCGAGTGAGTCTATCCTCCCTAGACCAAGCAGAGTTGTGGTCAATGATTGTAATGGTCAGTCGATTGAGATCTGCCTTAGTGTGGTCAGGGGATCACAAATGTCGACTGAGAGGGAGGTCTGGCTTGCATTGGTAGTCGCTACGATGACCGTTCATTCGTTTGTGAAACGGCTGTTCTGACTCGCCAACATACTGTTTACCACATTTACACTGTAGGAGATACACAACATTTGTAGTCTTGCAATTAACATTGCAAAATATGGTGTATTCTGTACCAGTGGAGTGACTGTTAAAAGTCTGGGTAACCAGTATTTGTTTGCAAGTCAGACATCGTTTGTTCCCGCAACCCTTACAAGAGCCCACAGACGAAGAACCTGCTTAAGAGGATAAATCAGCTCTCACCAGCAAGTCTTTAAGGCTTTTGGGCCTACGGAAAGCCAATACAGGTGGCTCGGGAAAGATCTTGGATAGTTTAGGATGTTTTTCGATTTCTTTCCAATTTTTGCGGATTAGGTGAGATAAGTTGTCAAATTTTGGATGGTAAGTCAACACAAAAGGCACCCTCCTGTTCACCTTTTTGACTTTATATTGTAAAAGTTCATCATATATAGAGTCTATAAGAATCTACCAACCAGTAAACGTAATAGGTATTGGATCATCAAAATTGACAATACTACACAAACAGGGAAAATTATATGAGTCTAAAAGATTGTGTAACAATACCGATAAATAGATTTATCGGTATTGTTACACAATCTTTTAGACTCATATATATATATATATATATATATATATATATATATATATATATATATACATATGCGTGATAAATAAACAACCAACAGTATGTTGTGTTGTTAATTAAAATTTTACGTAAATTAGTACACAACAAAATTTGAAAGCAATCATATAACGTTGTTCTGTTGATACTAAACAATATGACTAATACTTCTAAAATAATGAGTAACACATCGATATTTATTTGCACAATAACCGATATAGGATGATTGCAACGTCTGTCATATGTTTTTTTGCTCCTTTACATTGATTACTGTCCTTGAAAGAGATAAACTTCCTACTTGTACAATACACCATTCACTCTAGCAGTATGCACCATGCACCTTTACAAATAACAATTACTTCATACACCATACGTCAGGCAAACATAATCTTAGTCTTTCAAATGTTTTAGTTTAAGCGTTTCTGATGAAGGTTTATCCAAAAATGCGCTTCCTGAATTGATAAAGTGTCATTTCCATTTACGCAGTACACAATGCATGATTACATCAGACACCATTCTCAATATATCATACAAGACTGTACATTATCCTTTCATTTCAACCTTTAGAAATTGAATCATAAATGATGCACATCATTGAAAATTATTTACTAGGTAAAATATTCAAGGGAATTGCAATATAACTGCACCAATACAAAAACAGCCAATTAATGACATTATCTTATATATATGCATGATCAATAAACAACAAAGAGTGTGTTGTGTTGTTGGGTAAATATACACGTTAATTAGTACACAACACAATTTGAAAGCAATCATATCACGTTGTTCTGATGATACTACTACTTCTAAAATAACGATTAACACATCGATATCTTTTTTGCACAATAACCGAACTAAGATAATTACATTGATTACTGTCCTTGAAAGAGATAAACTTCCTCCTTGCACAATACACCATTCACTATAACAGTATGCACCATGCACCTTTACAAATATCAATTATATCTTACACCATACGTCAGACAAAATTAATCTCAGTTGGCCGTTTGGTCAGATAGCTCTTAATGTTTCTCCTTATTATTGATGGCTTTCAACTGATGTGGTTTAAGCGTTTCTGATGAAGTACATCCACAAATGCGATTCTAGAACTTCAAGTGTCATTTTCATTTACGAAGTACACCATGCATCAATACATCATTAATATTAAAATAAAATTAAAAAGTTACGTGTTTTGTAACGATTTGAAACGGAAATTTTCCACAGCCTTTTCGATTGTTACCACTCTTTCGCATTTCCGTCGATCAATCATCGAAACGCAGATAATAACAGAGTAAGAAAGCTACTTTATATTTGCTAGATAACATAATTTGATTAAGCAGAGATTAAGTAGTTGGACAAGACATCAGATATTAAATCAATATTGATGCATCGTTACTGCGAAAAGATAAATTCAAATATCTATTCCTGTACCTGATTCACGGTAAATTTCTCAGTTTAATCGAATAATTAGAGTCATTTAATAAAAATGTCATGAACTGACTGTTTCTATATTGGCAATGTAAAAGATTCTCGATCAGCTGTATATGCACCCCCCCCCCCTCCCACACACACACACACAAACATAAATCTTCGAGTCTTGGGGTAAATACAATTAACCTCGAATCTATAACAGGGCCAATACAAACACAGCCAGTTAATGACACTATATTATAGACATGCGTGATCAATGAACAAACAGTAGTATGTTGTGTTTTTGATTAAAACTACACAAACATAAGCACACAACACAATTTGACCATCTCGATACTGATTTGCACCATAACCGAATAAGGATGATTGCCATATGTATTATGTGCCTCTTCATTGATAATTGTCATTGAATGAAATGAACATCCGCTTACACCATGCACCATTCCCTTTATCCTCATATACCTTAAAAAAATGGCAATTACATCATTTCCCATAGATCAGGCAAAATTGATCTGAGTTTGCATTTTGGTGTTATAGCTCCTATTATTTAGGTTTAAGCGTTTCTGATGAAGAAAGGCGTTTCCGAAATTCATAAAATGGTATTTCCATTTTGCACAGTACACCATGCACCTTTACACCATATCATTCTAAATAAAACGTACAAACCCTTATACTATATCCCTTACATAAGAAAATGGACAGTTGTTTTCCACTCGTTTGAAGTGTTTGAGCTTTTGATTTTGCCAATTGTAAAGTGATTTTCCGTTTTGAATTTTCCTTGGAGTTCGGTATTTTTGTTGTTTTACTTTTCACTTTCCCCTCTAAAATGTGAATCATACATGATTGACACCTTTCAAAATTATCCGCTGAAATGTTTAAAGAAATTGGAAATTTTAATACATCTTTTATTAGACGAACTAAGATATATACACCATACAACATTCCTCATTTGCCTTACACAATACATCATACATTATTACGCCAAACACCATTACATGCACGTTTTATTTGGAAGTTTACACCCGTCCAGAATTGGATGGCTGTTTCCTTATGTGTTTACTGTAATGTTTTTCCATGCCATCACCGTTTATTCTACATTACCCTAAAACGTAAGCATGAATTCGTGTGTACCGTTCTAATCATAAACGGATTTTCTTTTCGGCTATTCTTATCTCATTTTTTCGGTTAAATCGACATAAAACAGGACAGGGTTCATCAAACAAAATGTTATGTGTACTTGTTTTGTATGAAAGCGAGCTCTGCATGATTTGATCACTATTCCATTCTAAACGTGTGTGACAATAACTGTCAATTTCTTGAGTGTATTAAAATGACATAGTAAGAATTTTATTATCATAATCCGCTTAATGTTAAAATGATTATAGATATTATATATTTATAACTTACCAGATGTCCTTATGAATAGATTTGTCGTTTGCAGTTTGCATAATTAAACTGAGAAAATGTAAATCAAAACATACCTGTTCCTCTCGTTAAATCAAGAGTACAAATGACACAGACAATAGGTTATAATATGGATAACCTACAGTACTTTTTAATGAACGTCTATGAATGTAATACAAACACATAGTAGGCTGTCATTCATAACTTGCTCTTGATCTTCCTTTTTGATTAGGCCTTTTAACCATGTTTGATTCGAGCGTCATTGATCAGTCTTTTGTAGACGAAACGAACGTCTGGTTTACAAAATAATAGGCTGATATCTTTGAAGAGTTTTTTTCTTTAATTTAGTAAAACTTATGACGACTACCGTAATAAATAAAAACAAAAAAAACAACTGAATAAAAGTATTAATCGAAATATACCATTATAGTGGATGACCTTTAATGAAATGAGAAAAATAGTATTCGTCAGGGAGACGGCAATCTAAAAAATAAAATAAAAAAATACCGAACTCCAAGGAAAATTCAAAACGGAAATTCCCTTATCAAATTGTAAACTCAATAGCTCAAACACATCAAACGAATGTATAACAACTGTCATATTCCTTATGTAGAAAATGGTTGATTAAATATAGTTTATAGCGTGCTAAACCTCTCGCATGTATGACAGTAGCTTAAAATTCCGTTATATTGACAACAATGTGTGAGCAAAACAAACAGACATAATAGGTGAAAATGTCAAACATTGGGGTCCAGCAGTCAACATTGTGTTATAATCTTAATCTCTAAAAAATAACAATTATGCCAACAAAGAAAAACAAAATATCATATAGAAAAAACACATTAACAGTACCACAAAATAGTTCATTAGATATAAAACAAATGTTTCTTCAGTTTGTTTCTTCGTCCCTTAGGTAAACATATGCATGATCTACGAGAGAATTGTTAAGGAAATGTTTACACACATACGATCAAAACCAAAGAATGATGTGTTTGGGTAAATCCACAAGTAAACTAACGGAATATGTTTATATCGATAAATTATAAAAAGGTGTACATTTTTTCAATCGTTTTGGTATTATGTTAATTTAATAATCCAAATCATGCAAACATTGAATGAAAACGTTTGAATATTTTAGTCGGAAATATTAGTTGTGATTTTTTAACGTCTTTTACAATCAAACATCAATTTACTGATAGGTTTAAATAAACACGATATATTGATTGTCGGGGATAGATATTGGGTTAAAACTGGCAATTCCTTAATATTCGACAGAGGAAAGTCATATGAAAATTCCATTTATAAACATGAATAGCTGTTCCTTTAAACAAATAAGCACATACATTAAAAAAAATTGGCTGGTGATGAAACATTCACTTAGAGAAAACGCTCGGTATCATGTGTACATAAATTTGTAAATCGGCAACTACTTTTTCGTTAAATTTTCACAAAGTAAAATGTTTCGACTATAATGAACAAAACATTGATACCGTGACGAAGAATGATCGAGGTCACATTTCAAACAAATGGATGACAATTATTATCATAAACAAAAAGCAATTACACATTTTTTTATCTTTGCAATCCTGAGCGTATGTAAATTATATTAAGTGTAAAGATATTGCGGTTCATAGACGATGGATGTTTATTGAATGGTAACATATTAATAAATATGACTAATTTAATTATTGTTTTCCAAAATGTTGAAAAGATTATTTTCCTGTTCAATGTGTAGAGCAACGTCAGCATGTGAATAATCGTCTGGTGTTTTTTTAAATTTTTGTACTGAGTTGCCACTTACGAGAATATGTATGAGCTTGCTTTTCTGTTCATGTGCAACTGTTCCTTAAGCGCAGTTATAGATATATGGTTATGCGGAGTTATGTATGCGTTTGACCGTTCTTATATCTTTTCGTTCTTACCTTTGCTTGTCGTTTCAAAACCTTTAAAGAACATTTCAGTAAGATGATTATAAACCTATTAAGGAAAGTAATATATTAGATCATCGACAGTTTCTCACAGATCTTTACGAGACATAATCTAAGATAATTGTTTAAGTTATAGATAATGCATATTTTTAGGTTTTTCTTGTCTTAGAACACACCGAGGGGTATCAGGATTGATCAAATGAAAGACCGCCCGTAGGGAGGTCTTTCTTTAGGCAATCCTGACACCCCGAGGTGTGTTCTACGACAAGAAAAACCTTAAAATATGCATTATCTGACTTATATACCGTCAACAAAATATTGTTTTTATAAATATTTGCAAAATTTAGCATCCTATTTTACCGATCACACTTAACTGGGATATTCTTTTCTATTGCGTTCAGGTTTTAATACGCCCTACGGATCATTTAGAATGTGAAATAAAACTCACAAATTAATCTAGATATAAACCTTAGAAAGTATTATCCATACACAATAAAAATATTACTGTAACTGCATGAAGTAAGACACAAATGAATTGTTACCATCTGATAACGGTGTAATGAAAAATGCAAGACACTTTGTAGGTAATTTATTGTACCAACTTAGTTTATGGAAAGGGGGAGGTGCTATGTTTTTTTTGTCAGTTTTTAAAGACATTTTATTGCGGAAAAGTAATTATTTTTTCAACAATTTTAATTGAATCGAATTAAATATTCAGAATGATTTTCTTTTGAATAGCAATACATTTTTTAACAGATAATCAGGATATAATTATATACCCTCCCCCCACCCGACCTCATTGTGAGGTACGTGAATGTTATTCAATAGAATATAAGAATATTTTATTAGTTAATCATTTGATAGAGTAAAAGGTATACATAAATGTAAAAAAGTTAAGAACTGACACGAAGGGGGAACGAAATCGTGATACATGTACATGTTACACGAAAACGAATATCAATACATGTAGGTCACAGTATGATTTCCTATTCAGTGTGTATCGTCCTGAACATGTATCAAATATTTGCCACTGGACGTTAAGTAACCATCAATCAATCAACCTATTCAGTGTGAATTACACACGAATATGTTAAATCTGGCTTTATTTTAAAGTGTTATGAAAGTTTTACATTAAAATTCATCTCGCATATATGATAATTTCTCTGTTTTGTAGCGATAAATTAACAAAACTTCACATTATTTGTTTCTAAAATTAAAATTCGGGCAATGACGATTTTTTTACACCTATCATAGATTGAACTTTAAAAAAAAAAAATCCAAAATCGGCAACAGAAACTATCAGACGAATATGATTTTGAAGTAAATTATAGTTTGCGTTTTTATCAAGGAAAACAATGACCTCACACAGGTCATTATTATTTTATGCCTTGGAGCATATTTCATTGAAACATGGTATCATCCGGGTTTATTCTTCGAAAGAATGACCTATCGTTCTGAAAGAAAATAACTCCATATAGGTATATAATGGTAGATATCAGCATTGGGACGTCAATCAGATATCATAATAAACATTCTGAGTTTTGGAGTTTTTTTTTTATTAAGAGCATTAAAAGCATTTAAAACCGAAAATTAAATGTACAAGAACGTTCATTATTATATTCACACATGAACTTATATTGAATTTAGTCACCTGTATCGTGATATTAACATATTTGCTTAAGTTATTACCCTACGATTACAAAACTTTTTTCGTTAAGAAGCAAAATAATTGACATAAGTTTTATTGACCTCTATTTGTGTCCTTTTGGTGGTTTATTTGGCGAGAAACTTAACTTGCCAAATATTTGTGTCATGTGTGTGGTTACAGAGATAATTATTACACCCTGGATTTTAGCTTTGGTGTCCTTGGTCAGTAAGTGTGTAAGCCTGTGTAATGCAATACCATCAAATCATTCAATCTGCACATGAAAAAATAAAATTTTATCAAAATGGCCTATACACGAGTGTTACAATCATTAACGTTCAAGTTTTTGCTCTTGACCTCAAATAATGTTTCATTCATAAAGAACAGATATTTAAAGAGTATTTAACTTGTACAAGCATTCAATGAATATTTCCTCGCGTGGTTTTTTTTACGCTATCTTTTCTTTTGATTGTGCATTTAGGGAAGTCATTAATTTTTGCGTTTCAGAATTTGTAATTTATGTATTGTTCATATATAGGAATATTTAATTTGATGGTTTTGCTATAGGGAAATATTCATTCTGAGAAACATAGATAGAAATATATCCTTGTAAAACGTCCATTAAAATACGATGAGCGGCAATAAGGAAAATATTGCGATGTTCACATTTCGATCAATCATGTAAACGACACGTGTTAATATGAGAACAATATCATATTAGACAATTTAGAAATACAATTTACAAATTTGAACATGTAAATTAATCTATATAGATAAGCAAACCGTGAACATAAGAACATTACATTTGAATAAAGTGGGCTTTATTGAAGAATTGTTTGTTTTTTTTTCAAATAATGTCTATTATCTTTTAACCTTTCTGAGTCAAGATCTGTTGATCGTGTTCTTTTTATTTGGATGTTTTGCCTTTTTTGATCTTAACACATACATCTTTTTTTTTCAACGTCTCTTTGATTCCAATATTGGTCGTTTTCATTTGTAACATGCGGAACAGATCATTGACACATGTAAACAACAATTTTATCGCTTTTGTTGTCAACTCTGTGTAATCAAACACATTTTTCACCTGATAGTTCTAACTCTTTTTGTTTTTTATCACCACTGCATTGAAACGATGAAGGCTTTTAAGTTTTTCGTTTTCATATAATTGGTCACATCTCTAAGAAACGTCAATGAAGTTTGACATAGCATTTGATTTATTTCCTAATTTCCATTATGGCAGTCAAACTGAGATCAAGATCAAAGGTCATTCAAAGAGTTTGTCATGTTTGGGTTTTTAGCTACTCCTCTAAAACAACAAAAGAAATGAAATTAATTGTTTCAGACAATATTTGAAGGAACTGATAGTTGCAGTTAAAATAATTTGACTATATTTATACTCACTGTATATTTGCTTAAACAGTTACATTACACATTCATTCGGATTGTATGTATTAATTTTGGATAGCTTTGATCGTAAAGATATCAATTACACGTGACCTTGTGTGAAAAGAGAGCAGATGCTTTATCCACTAGTTTCATGAAATAAGAAACCCATTCATATTAAGAATTAATGTAAGGTGGACTATGCTACATACATTGGATCTTCACCAAAACATGATCGGACTTATTGTTTTGTATTCGATTGAGCAGTAATTTGAACATCGATCAACTATTGTGGCCTTATATTCAAGTATGGATATTTGAAATTTGTATACCCTTATTTTGATATAGAAAAATTACTAATGATTTTCAGTTTCTGTTATGTTATGCATATATTCATTCAATGATCATTTGAACGTTGATGATCAACAAATGTCAATTCGATTTGGAAAAAACCTTGCAAGTGTTTTGTGAACAATGCTATAAAGCTCCATGTTGTTAAATCAACAAAAGGTTTTGATTTAATGATAAACATGTTAGACTGAGTGATGCAGTTTACAACTGAGACCGATGTCTATTGAACCTTGTATAAGAGGATATTCATCTGGCACAGTTTTTTAAGAAATGTTTTAAACTGGTTTTTACTAGTTTGTCATCGCCCATAGTCGAGGTAAATATTACATATCTTTATAGTTAAGATGAATTATTCATATTCATAATTGTTTATATTTCTTATCTAATAGCAAATCAAAATGAGTATTATTATTTGTTACGATCCGGTAATTTTTTACTCAATACTATTTCTTTTTTAATCTTAAACCATTCACTAATTAGTTATCAACAAACTTTTATAATTTGACCTAAACGGTCATCTCAGTGCTATAACCTATCACAAACGAGACGATTATAATTATCAATGTTCCCCACCTTAGCAGCAATATACCAACTTCACCGTCATATGTGATATACATTTCCCAACTCATTCGGTATTCAAGAGCTTGCAGCTGCTACTCAGGCCTTACAAAACGTCACCAGTGTATGAGCAGAAAGTTGATGAACCAAGGTTATGTCAAAGAACGTCTTGTCCTATTTCTAAAAAAGTTCATCGGAAGACACCAAAACCTTGTTGATAAATATTCCGTATCAACTTCACAAATAATACATAATGGCCTTGAAGTATAGATTCTAGGAACTGACATTGTTTATCATCTTACATACGTTTTATAGTGTTCTATTTCTTTGTCTCTCTATATTTTTACTTTACTGTTTAGTTCATTTTTGTGTAATATACTTTTGGCGTGGCTTTGTATTTATACATCCTGCCATTGTGTTAGTGTGCTATGGTCATTTTTGTATTCTTGTCTATCAATTGTGCTTATATACTTTGTCTATGGAGTGTTTCTATGCCATTTTGTATTTCTTTGTTGAAATACATGTCGTCATTCGTTTTTACAGTTATTAAGATAATAATTCAATATTGACTGCTAAACCCCAATTTTTGACATTTTTACCTATTCTTCCTGTTTGTTTTGCTCACACATTGTTTTCAATATAATTGGATTCTATCCGACTGTCATACAAATGTGAGGTTTAGCTAGCTATAAAACCAGGTTTAATTCACCATTTTCTACATAAGGAAATGTCTGTACCAAGTCAGGAATATGACAATTGTTTTCCATTCGTCCTAAGTATTTGAGCTTTTGATTTTGCCATTTGATAAAGGACTCGTTTTGTATTTTCCTTGGAGTTCGGTATTTTTGTTATTTTACTTTAAATTGACGTTTTTCATTAACAGTTGGCTATATGTTCAACTTTCAAGATGAAAGATACACTTTTGTCATATTATTGGTATAATGCGGACTTTGCACAATGTACAATAAACACACTACACTACATTTGTATTGATATATTGTCTATATTAACAAGACACTAGCTTAAACATATGTAACTGCATTATAACAAATAAACCAAAAGGAAAAATACAACATTTGACAACGTAGATTCAAATTTATTTTTATTTATTTTGCATGATATATTTTGGTCGCCAATATTACAAGGAAATGAGTGAAATATCAACATGTGTAATAACGAATTAAAGACAGAATATTTCATCACATACATATTTTGAGTTTACCATGCAACGGTCTTATTTTTTAAGCCAGATTAATTTCTGAACTTTTTTATTATTATAAATATTTTGACAATGTCTTTTTTGCATTTATTTGTCACAGAAATATTGGTCTACATCGCAGCATTGTCTCTCTTTTTCTAGAAAGAAAAAGCCATATTTTTTTTTCCATTCTATCAATGCACTTTCGATCTGTATCTGTTAATCTTAAAAAACACATATACAATCAAAATTAGTTTTATAAGCACTTACAACTTAATGCACGTATGCTGTGTCAACAATTACACAAAAAAAAAGGATTCTTGGTTAGATGTAAAATGCCATAAACGTATACAATCGATACTTTTACGTTATGTAGTTTCGCTAAGATAATGTGGATATTTCAGCAATTGTGGCATTCCACAAGTATTACAAGACTTGTTATTCTGACTTTAACTCAATTTCAAAACCCTAGATAAGATACAGACCGTGATTTGGTATGCTTATCCTTTCATCTCTGTTTATTGCGACAGTTAGATATGACAGGAATTCTGTAATACGATGTTTTAATTGGTGTATATTTTATCATGGATATTCCTTAAATTGGTTTGTGTCAGTATATGATGGTGTTTTATATTAGGATTTTTTGGTTTTTTTTCATGTTGCTCTTCGTGTATCTTGTTTCGATATAATTATATAGTGTTGAATTAAATTATCTGAAATGTTATGCTGAAACTGCTTTTTGCTTTTGTGACAACATAGACCTATGATTAAAAACAAATATGCTTCCATGTCAGGTCTGATATGCATAAAACTACTTGAGCAAAGATTTGTTCCGAACGGACGGTTTTTCTACATGTCCTACGATAAATCAGTACTACGATTGAAAATCTTAACATAAGTGGTTTTATGCATATCAGCCTAGATCTACAGGTATGTAAATTTGTCAAATAGTCAATGGGGAGCCAAACAGACCGATGGCACAAATTACCAAAGCCTTCGTAAAAAGCGAACTTAGCGTATAATTGAAGCTATTAAACCAAGAGTTCCAAATGGTGAAGCTGAAATCATCCCTTCGTAAATTTTACGGACGCCATCACGTGTTGGTTGACCGTTATGGAATAACCGTTTCACAGATGATATCGGATATGTTCCTTATGTCGTAGATTACAATCCACTTCCTTTTTCACCACGAATGTGACTTACCGAATTAGACTATTTACCGGATATGTAATAACATAAGCAACACGACGAATGCCACATGTGGAGCAGGATCTGCTTACCCTTCCGGAGCACCTGAGATCACCCCCAGTTTTTGGTGGGGTTCGTGTGGCTTAGTCTTTAGTTTTCTATGTTGTGTCTTGTGTACTATTATTTGTTTGTTTGTCTTTTTATTTTTAGCCATGGCGTTGTCAGTTTATTTTCGATCTATGGGTTTGACTGTCCCTCTGGTATCTTTCGCCCCTCTTTTTTAATACAGGTCTTCTTTACTCTCACAGTTCTCTTCTTTTAACTTGTATAAATGAAGTCAAATGATAATACAGGTATAATCGAGGAACTTTTACACTAACGTTAACATACGTTAGTCTAACATTCGATCGTTCTACGACACAATTTTGCGTACAGTTACGTACATTTAGTGTACTTTTATATTCTAGTTTGTATGTCTTTAGGTTAACATGGTAAAGGAACCTATTTAAATTGGAAGGAAATTGCCATCTAAATGTATTGTATTCAGTTCCTCCGAGTGTGCTTCTTTTTGAACTGGACAACGTTTTTTTCAGAGTTGCATTTCCTATACATAGAATACAACGAGTATATCAAATGCAAAACAATATATTACTTTATCATTTATCCCAGTTACTGTCATTTTAACCAGTAATTTCTGTGTGCGTTGCTTACACAATTTTATCAAAATAACGGAACTAAACTATATACAACTGTAATACAAATAGGAAGTTACGCTAGTTATAAATCTGTGCTACCCCCACCATTTTACCCTGTATCATGTCAGGAATACAACAATTGTTTTTCAGTCTTTCCGTCGAAGGATATTGTCGAGGATTTCTTTTTTTTTTCGGTTGTTCTTGACTTCTACGTTTTGAATATACTCTGACGTTCGGTATTTTTGCGATGACATTTGTTTATAAATGAGGAAATCAAATACTTTTTTGGAATATAAAAATTGCTTCTAATCTAAGTGATTGCCCATTTTTTTACTTTATAATTCCAGTCGACTGTTCTGTTCTGTTCTGTGTTTTGTGTTTACTGAATGCTTAATCGTGATCGATTTTATCACACACATCAAATTTTACTGCGTTGTTGGTTTTTTTTTTTGTAAAGAGCGCTTCAGCATTATGTAAACATGTGTATACTAGTACTTAAGTTAATTTTTTCATTGTTGATACATGTTATTTGTATAAAATAATTTAACACTTCAAGAGTCAATTAAGAAAACAGATTTTTCAATTAATAAACTGCATTACATGAAGATAAAACTGACGAAGATAATAACGTGTGAACTATATATATAGCCAACATATTTTGTTTTTGTTTTTGTTGTACATTTATGGTTTAGCTTGAAATATATTTTATGTCGTTTTGGATAGTATGCACACATATTTAATTTACAATCGTGCAAACTGTTATTAACAAGTTGAAAAGAAATTATTACTCACCTCAATATCAATGCAATCAAGCGGATAATTGTTATTTACTACTAGATAAGAGTAACAATGCAATTGTGACACTGAAAACAACTGTCATGTAATATATTTGAATGAATTAAGCAAAATATAGAAACAAAGTATCAGAAGAAATAGATCACTATTAAAGATCATATTAATGGTCAAGACCTGTTACATGAATTTCAATTATTTTCTTTTCCACACTATGTAATTGATTTGAAATTGAATCATGTTATTTAAATGTTTAAATTATCTTGGAGAGGATGTATAAAGGCTTTATCATTCTGGTATTCAATCCATTTCAGTTATTTTTTGAATAGGATATGTTTATTTTGATTTAAATTGAATTAAATTAACAAACAGGAACATCATACAATACGGAATAGAACCGTATCGTTAAACATGCTATAGGTTTAAACTAGCGAGACGAAGCAGCTTCGTTAGTACAAGATACATGTAGAACGTAAAAAACTAGTTTTGTATTATAAATGTATGATAACAATTGTAATATGTACTATCAAATACGTGTATAATCTGACTGTTGTATGTGTGAAGTCAAAATGCACTGACATAATAAATGTTTTTTTTATAGTCCCTCAACGCATGTTTCTGTGTGTGTGTCGCTCAAAATGTGTTCCCTAGTGTGTATGTAATTGTGTCGACTTGAACAAATTCAATTTAGCAGAATGTTGACGCCGTTCGCTTCTAAATAACACTTATAATGATTGCTGATTTCTGTACATAGTTGAAAATTTATATTTATATAGGGTGTGCATGGTAGTGTGTCATTTGATAACACTGTAGTCATATTATCATATACATGAAAGCGACAAGAAGTAAGCATTGCTACAATTCTAACTATTACATGTACTAGTATTGAGTTTAAAACTGTATACAGATAGAAACATAACAATTACATTGTCATATACATGCTATAGTAACAAACAAAAGTTTGCTGCATTAGACTAACTCCCACGATAAAGCCATGGTCATTGACAGACGCTTTGAAAACAAACAAACGAGCAAAATCAATAAACATTATATATTCAATAGTTTATCGCTAGACACATACTTAATACAACTGTTAATGCAGATATCATTTTTTCAATTTAGCTTATTTTTATATTTAAAAATATTTCTAATATGTGTTTATTGGTAAATTTTCTTATCAAAACAGATACAATAAAGAAACACATTTGCGGTGCATTTCCATTTCAATTTTGAGAGTGAAATAAATGGTAGTGTATTAATGTTTATATATATATATTACATGTATTGAAGGAGACGCTTACCCTGTCGATGCAATATGTCTGGCTCATTTTGTAGATCACGCGATTCCATCACTTTGTGTTTGCTGCCTTGACTTTTATTCCTCATCAAATTGAGAGATTTGAACGGCGGTAAAAAGTAAAATCACAAACATACTGAACTCCGAGGAAAATTCAATCGGAAAGTCCCTAATCACATGGCAAAATCAAATGACAAAACACATCAAACGAATGGACAACAACTGTCATATTCCTGACTTGGTACAGGCATTTTCAAATGTAGAAAATGGTGGATTGAACCTGGTTTTATAGCGCTAAACCTCTCACTTGTACGACAGTCTCATCAAATTCCGTTATATTTACAACAATGCGTGAACAAAACAGACAAAATAAATAAAGTAGTCAAAATATGGGTACAGCAGTCATCACTGTGTTACAATATCAAAACATACAATCATTTACAAAAAAGCACAAAAGCATCTATCAAATTAAAAACCACATTCATTGCTTCGCGTCTCTGACGTCAGAAAGTGTAAACGTCACATAAGAAGAAATTTTGTCGTTCAACGTTTATTCAAAACAATTTTATAATTTCACATGGGGAATGTTGGTATACAGGGTTAAAAAAATCAAAAGTTATGTTAGAATTAATTTCAGAAATAGAACGAGTAAACTACAGTTGCGTAAATGTCTATGCAAGTACTTACGTTTTTCCTTATATGCAAGTAAACCATATATTCTTTTGGTACCTGCGTATATGACACTCGCTGATGTGACTAATGGCTATGTGACTTTGAGTATATGATTAAAATTTACACAGTATATTTCGCTATCAAGTACATAGATGCCTACGTTTTTTATGGTCGTATTCGTGCCGAACACTTTCCTGTCATTAGTTCCGTTTAAATATGAATATTTCAAATCACCTGTCTTGAAGTTCATCCAGTAAAGTCTTTCTTCGTTGAAATCTTAAATCAAAAAGAATTCGGTATTTTATGTATGCATTCACAGCAACGATAAATATTGATACCGTTATGTAGTACAAAAGGAAATTTATGTACATATTTTTTTTTGTAGACCATCATTTCAACATCTATTATAATTCAGACATACGACTCTCTCTCTCTCTCTCTCTCTCTCTCTCTCTCTCTCTCTCTCTCTCTCTCTGATGCTTACATTGTGCGTAATTCAACTTTTAGTTTTTGATCATTTAAATGACTGGCAGAAAAAATATATACAAACCAGAACGAGCCTGAATTTGACAGTTTTTGTACATGGCTGTACCGTGTTTTTCTCGATCATTTTGAATTAGAATTATTTTACACGATATTAATCAAATGTAGTCTGAAGTACACTTAACTGTCTAAACAAGTACACGCCCCTTATATTGACCATACTAAAATTTTAAACTATACTCGACCTGGCTTCAATAGTTTGAACCCAGTTTCGACCTCTTTTATTTTAACTAGATAGCCTAATGACGATTCTGGGAAAGTTAGACTAAGTATTTTCAGAGGGGAAGGTTTTGTAAAATATTTAAAAAAAAATTATTAAAAATTTACTAAAAAGGGCAATAACTCCTTAAGGGGTCAATTGACCATTTTGGTCATGACTTTTTTGTTCATCTTACTTTGCTGAACTTTATTGCTGTTTACATTTTATCTCAATCTATTACATGTATAATAATATTGAAGATAATAACCAAAACATCAAAACTTCCTTAAAATAACCAATGAAGGGGTAGAAATCCAACTACAGGTTGTCTCGTTCGTCTAAATGTTTCAGGGCAGATAGATTGTGACATGATGAACAATGTCAGATTTGCTCTAAACGCTTCGGTTTCATAGTTATAAGCCAATATCTACATTTTACCCGTATGTTCTTTGTTTAGCCATGGCGGCCATGTTAGTTGGCAGGCGGGGTCATTGAACACATTTTTTTTTTAACAAAATACCGCAATGAGGATCGTAGCCAAGTTGGTACAGCAGTTTCAGAGGAAATATTTTTGTAAAAATATTTTGAAAAAAACAAATGTTCACAGTTCCTTCCTGTCGATTTTCATTTGATATAATTTCAACCATATCACGTTCACCTATGCATCAGCGTCTTCCACTATTTTTATAATTTGCAAACTTTCTTATTTTTAACAAAACATGTTATGAAAAACAATGTGACAGACATGAATAAACGACAACCGCTGAACTACTGACTCCTGGCATTTGACTTTTAAACATATTTGAAGGCACCAATATGGAACAGTGACGTATAACATTTCAATTTAGGACCAAACTATACAAATCAGTTGAAAAGGGCATGTTACGAAAATCAGATAGATATAAATCAGAATAACAAATCTCTCAAAAACACAGACCGGACATAGTAGGGTATGTAAACATCCCTCACAACATTAAAGACGCAAACTACATATGCTTGACTGACAAATAGTTCTTAGCCATTAACAATTACTAGTAATAAAAGTTCATGTATCTAAGACTAAACTATCAATCAGTACAAATCCAACATCCAATAGAATTAGTGCAGAGACGTAATTTTCAGACAGAGAGAAAACATGACTTAATGAAATGCCAAAATATATGTATCGCAAGATTGCTGTACTGTCAATACGCAGGTGTGTAGAACAATCAGTTTTAATTTGGTTTCAATTTACTGTTAACAAAATCAATATTTATTCAAACAAATACAATATTCTAAGACCTGATAACAGCGTTAGATGTGTTACCTTTTAAAAGGACTTGATTAGTTTTCCCGGACTGTATCTTAATTTTCTAGTTCGGTAAACAAAATTATTGTAAACATTAGGATATGCTGTGACTCGGATTTAGTTTGTGACCCGGATTTGTTTTCGCTTAATCGATTTATGACTATTAAACAGCGGTATGCTAATGTTGCGTTTCTTTGTCACTTCCGTTTGATAAATATTTAAGTACAGACAAACGTCCAAACCAAATGTGTGTATCAATAGAAGAATTTAATAAAGGTTCATAATATTTCAATTAAAAAAAATCCTGACTTCAAACCTTACACGTAATACATAATATACTTTCAGAAAAATCCAATGTAACTGCTGGCTGGGCATAGCAAACGAGCAGTGATATATAAACAATGTAAGGGTGTGACGAAAGCGACAGTGAAAGACCCTCATGGGAAGTTAAAAGTAAAATAACAAAAATACAGAACTCCGAGGAAAATTCTAAACGGATATCCTAAGCAAATTCAAAAGCTCGAACACATCACACTTATGGACAAGGTCTATAAACAACCCCCGCGTCATCGTCAAAGGAACATCAATGTCAAAACATGGGAAAAATTAACAGGGAAAGACAGTATTAAAAAAAACCCAAATATTGAAGAAAATCAGTACAAAGACTTAATCAATAAAGAAAAGTTTATGAAATATATAAACTTGTAAATCATGTTATTCTTCACCTATGCGATACTTTTAAAAGAAAAATAAATAACGACGGTAATATGCTCTATCATAACATACCTATAATCAAATCCGAAGCTTCTTCCTCAATCACTGTTTGATTTTCAATACCATCCAATCGTGATCGTCGTATACTTCTTTTTGTCGTTAGTGTTGTATTATAATACAACCACCTACAATTTTGATTTAAAAGGAAGAACATTGAAACACCACTTTATGAATCTAGTGATATTTGTGTAATATAACACAGAACAAAACACAATGTGCACCTATATTTTCAAATGCTTGAAAGTCTTCTCAAAACGCTAGTATTTCTTATGAAATGAATCTTTTAATACCTTTTGTTTTATAATTTTAGGTGTTTACGGACGTTTCATTCCAGGTTCTATAGCATAACATGTTTAAACCTGCGTTACTTAATTTACTATTAGATCTATAACAATAAACAAAAACAAAAAGACAAAATATCAGTGTTAGATTAGTTCCTGCTAGGAGATTTGTGTTTTTATCGATAAAAATAGAAAGCATATCAGTTATCATTTTTATTGATTTATTAGCATTTGATAAATACACTTGCCTGTTAGTTCATTACGATTTCATCTTTTCAAAAGTTAGTGCATAAAAATTAGCATTTCGTTTAATAGAAAAACATCCATGACACTTTATCAGTACATGAACAGCAAAAAACACCGAAGCATACTTTATCGTTATAGTAAAATTAACCATTAAAAAAATCATTTATATTGATCAACACAATAAGGTTCCAACATCCTCAATTTAAGTTGACCTAAGATAAATTTGATTTAGGTTCCTGAGTGTCATATATCCACTAATCTGTTCAAGATTTTATGCAATTTTTATCTAATGGTTTGCTTGAGCGTTCTCTGAAGTGAAGTGGAGTCTTTTTAATATTCATTAAAAATGGATTAAAAAAAACTGTTCCGATAGTCTGGAGTTAGAGCAAAGAGTGGATCATCATTGAGGACAGGTGATTTATCAGATCCATCTAAATTACATCTATAAATATTTCAATCATTATATTCAGTCCAATACACATGGCCGTATAATGGATCAATGGCAACATCTATTGGTTGAGCTGCATCAGTCACAAACTCTAATGTGTAGGGTTGTTCTCATGGATACTGAAATCTAAGAATAAAACGGGTTTAAAAAAGGTAAAATAACCAAAATACCAATCTCCAAGGAAAATTCTTATCGGAAAGTCCTGTATCAAATAGCCTAACCAAAAGCTCAAATACCTCAACGATTGTCCCTTTTGGTTTTATGAGTTTTTCAACGTATGAATAACGACTTAGGTTTACAGATATTTCCGCCTTACACACCACTAAAGCTACATGAATCATCGAAATGCGCATCGGGTGCCGTAAAATTGGAATTGTTGCTTGTATTGTATTTTTTTTTATTATTGAACCATTAACAAAGTAGATCTCTAAATTTGATATGTTCGTCAAACATATTAATATGACACGTAAATGTTCACTTAAGGATGTTGCTTTTCTTGTTTTTTAATGTTTGATAGATTTTCGGAATCCTTAGGTTTTATCTATGTAGTGCCATTAAATATTTCGCCCACTAACCCCTACTTTTCTTTCCATAATTTGTTCTATGAAAAGTATGCAATTCTCTCACTTCTGTATTTCGTTCTTGTGTAGTCTTGGAAAATAGATATATCCATTGTTATAATCGTAAGTGATCGAATACACGTCGCTCTGTAGATTTGTTAATAGATATGATATGTTTCTAGTCTCCAAGTTGTATTCATATATTCTACCATAACCATCAGTCATGTCAGTTGAAAAAACAAACTTATTTGAAAAACCTGAAATATAAATTGAAATAAATGTGTTTTTTCTTCTCTGTTGTTATTGCACATAATTATGTACATGTATACATTGATCTCTACGTAATCCGACATATACGTTAACATGCAAATACAATAATAACTACGTAGAAAGTATAAGATGCATATCACATACATGACATATTCAATTGGAAAACAAATATCACAATCATATACATGTTTATATCGTGTTTTATAATTCTACAATGCAAATTTCGTCACATATATTACAGGTAGACATTTAAAAAATCGTATACTAGATGTATTCCCTCATTAAAACACGTAGATAATTTAAAAAATGTTTATCTTAACATAAATTTCAATAAAGACTGTTAAAAACGTCTGACGCGAATTTTTACAAACTTTTCTTCAATTCTCCTTTCATAAAATAAAGAAATTATCAGCAAATTAAGATTCCACCTTTTGTTAAGTGTGTTTTCACACGTGCAAGATTGTATGTAAGGTATAGACGCACCATATCCTTTAAGTGGAATTGAAATTTGTGTTGTATTTTCATTATCCTTTTTATGGACGAATTGTCGATTGAACGCATACGATTACAGTGGTTCTGCTTCGAATAAAAAGTTTTGACAATAATAACATAAATGATGTACTGAAGGTGCCGATAAGCAAGTGGCCTATTGTCCTATTAATTTCATACATTGTTGACCTGGGTATCATGCCAACTAGAGTAGAACATCCCAAAACACAAAAGAATAAGCTGATGTAAACCTGGTCCAATAAAGTAATGCTATTTTTTATATAACGAACAAGCATGGAAAAAAATCTACAATATCTTACGATATTACATATAGGCCATACAAATAATTTAATTTAGGGTATCAATAACTGATGTTGCAATCCATGCAATCCAAAAACGAGTTACGTTTCCTCATTCTAAAATTTCATTTCTTATTATCACAATATCGATCGTTCAATTTTCTGTTGTTGCCTTTTAGTCCTATTATTCAGGTACTTGTTTGAGGACACATCGGACTGTGTGTATTCAATTGAAGTATGCACCTGTCAAAAACTTTGGCCTTCTATAGTTTCTTTACAACACGTGTTCGGTTCTCTGGTTGGGCCGTTCTATGACTTTTAGTATTCAAATACTCTAAATTTGGTTTCCAGTGAAATATTGTCTCAGTAACAATTATATAAAATATCCGTATGCATCTTATGAGAGTTGGGTTGGGTTACAGAATATATAGAAGTTAATGGGCATACAATTACAAAAATATAGTTAAAAGTATGGAGAATTAACAAAAATAGCCAAACAAATAAAGAATAGAGAAAAATGGGAAAAATTAAGACACTATATTACATGAATACAAGTATAGTAATTTGCAAAATAATAAAAGAATACAGAAAAAATGGTACAAACATTAAAGAATACTGAAATAAAGTACCCAAAATGGACCATCCCTTATGTATATGTGATTTCTTACCTTTCCTTATAAAGCAGACAAAAAATTCAAATATGACCAGCACGTGTCATTTCATGCACACAAATGATACATAGATACGTTAACCAAGACTATCTTAGCAGACAAAACATACTTCTGAAAATATAAACAAGCGCATTAGTTTAATAGTTTCCTGACTGCTATCGGCGTTCCTTTCGAAAGAGAGCGAAACAAGAAAAAAAAACACAGAAGGACATAAAGTGAAAGAAAAAAAAACAATATGTTTAACTGTATTATAAAATATAATTTGCTTTGTTCAAAATTAATGCATTTCTTCAAAATACCAACTAAGAGTTCCAAATAAGCGTATGTAATATAAGGGCATAGTAAATTGACACAACATTACTTTGACAAACGAAAATAGACCACCACATATCCTTTTAACAACTACTTAGAAAAGTTACGATTTATGTCATTTTCCTCGATCATCATTTGTACGGAATATGAACCGAGAGTATTCAATGAACGTGTATCCCTCTAAAAAGAACACAATGACAATCGCAACAAAGGAAGATTTGATTACTACAGTAACTGTAATTGTCAAGTTAATGTATATCTCATAAAAATATCTATAAACTGAAATCAACAGAACTATATAATAACAAGAAATGAAAGTTTAATAATTGACACTGACAAATGTAATAAATACAATAAAATCTAGCAAACATTGAAAACAATGAATGTGCGTTTCATTTTGAGCAGTCATTGTAAGTTCGTTTTAGTGAGTCATAATGTGTATTTTGTTAAGTCTGCCCATTTATAATGTTAGAATAGTTCATGTTCATTGTTTTCGTCATTGATAAAAACAGAACAAATATTCGTAAGCATCATTGTTCTTTTAAATCATCGCCGTTGATACTTGTTTGTTTTTTTCTTTAATGATTTATCTGCATTAACTAGCCTTTAAAGATATGACATTCAATAAACCGGAACCATAAACAGAGGTCATATAAGTGGAAGGTTTATTTAGCTACAAAGCCATGTTGAACCCACCATTTTCTTCGGAAAAAATATTTACCAAGTCGGGAATATGACAGGTGTCATCCAATTGTACTGTTGGTTGATGCAGTCTAACGTTTGGTTAGTCTAATTTTATGGACTTTACGTTTTAAATTAATCTTTAATCTTGGATTTTAGGATTTTAGTTACAATTTTTTTATTCAAATGATAATATTTTTATTGTTAAGAATTAATAAACTTAAAATCAAAATGTAGAAGTCGTACCATATCTTTTTAATAGTTTTTAGCTTGTCCGATGTTGCGGTATATGGTGTGATATACTAACAACAATTAATACGTCTTCATTTCACCATACTATACGTTTCGTTAGTGATAATTGCAGGGTTTTGACAGAATCTACAAGGTTATTCCTAGTTATTAGATTTACACAACGGTAGTATAACAACTTTTAAATGTCATATATCGATAAAAAAAAAGATACATATCAAGGTAACATTAAAAAAAAATGATATTTGCATAAGCAACAAAAAATAACGATATTATTTGCTAAGACAGAGTAAGCTGCACCTAATATGAATTCATCAACTGCAATGCCAATCAACGCTCAATCAAAGTACCGCAACCGAGAAAAGGTAACAATTAGATAATCGACATATCAGTCAACTGTAGGCTCGATTAAAGAAAATCAATTAAAGAATGTGTATGGCATATAGATGATTATATTTTCAATATCTGATTCCATGATTTTGAAACTATTGTTATTTTATGTAATTTGTGTTTAAGCCCTTTTAGTTTCACTGACTATGCTTTTTTATTTTATTTTGATATATACATTTCGGAAACATTTATCCCGACTTACTACGTGTTATGGTTTTAACATAATGCATGCATGCATGCAATTATCGTACAAAATGTTTTGTTGGTTATCTTGACAAATAGTCAAATACAAAATCATCTCATCTTGCAAGATTGTCATTTGAAAATATATTGCTAGCAGTCCGTACTCAAACTTTAATAGTAAAGCTATTTCATAAACACAATTATCAACTAGCATTTATAAATTTCATTTAAATGGGTATGTGTAGAAAAAATGAAACCTTATCTGTATTTGTTTGTATTAAATGTCAAAGTGTTAGGTTTAACTTTATTATCGTTATGTATTGTCGACGTAGGTCATACATTCCTTCTCCATTGTCACATGAATGACTAACATACATTCTATACAAAAGCCTGTGTGCGAGTGCTCTTATGTATCAGTTAAAATAAATCAAACAAGTATACATAATACTGCAAACAATTGAGAAGACCATTTTACAGTCTTTACAAATAAATAAAAATAAAGTAAATATGCAGACATTTTTTCAGAACAGTGTTATTGTGAATCAGACCAGAGTGCGTAAATATGGATACAGAACGATACACCGGTTATGCGCGAATCTATATTTCTTACATATTTGTATTAAAAAATCATGTTACTTACGAAGACACTATGCAAACAATATTCTTAAATAATTCACACGCGCCATATACTTCTCTTTACTTATGCACAACTGTTTCCTGTGTGATCTTTTCAGGAGTTTAAGTTGTCAACCGGAAACGTTGAATGATGAATTACGATGCACACCAGTGATTTTTGGTTGATTTATTTTGATTTAAGCCAAACGATCGCTAGTTAATGTTAGTCGTAAACAATCATTTGAATCTTAGTATCAAATGAAAAGTCTGAACAACGTTAACTGTTCATACCAATGACTCGCAGTTAGTTCAAGACTGTTCATAAGCTTTTTCGACAAATCCATATAATGTTGATGTGAATAAGTAAATGACAATTACTGAATAGTCTGAACGTAGACGGAACAAATTCTGAATGATTGCAAGCGAATAGTTCTGAGAATGGTCAGAAAGACTGAAAATTAGTTGATATTTTATTTCTTCAGTCTTTAAAAGAGTTCTGATGTATTCATATGAAAATGACAGTTTCAGACTAAAATGGTTTACTTGTTGATATGCCTTTTGAATATAAAATATTTGTGGACATAGTTCATTCATTTATTAAGTTGATTCTTAGTTAATAATTTATCAAAGGGGTTGCGTTTCCTATTATGATTGTCAAGGTGTAGGGTTACTACTTACAATGCAGCTGTTGCATCAAGGGAATCAAATGGTAAAGATAACGTCATCTCTACAAAGTTTTATAATTTGGTTGACTGTTGTGGAATATCTGTCACACACGAATACTAATATTGTTCATACCACAAATCCGGCTTTTTCTCGATTATGCCATTTCTAAATGTAAATCATTATTTAATTTGAGCTTTCTTGAACAGGGATGTCTGACCCTTTTAGAGCATCGGAGGTAATCTCAGTTTTTAGGTGGGGATCATTGTTGCTTAGTCTTAAATTTTCATCAACTCATCCGATAATTCCATGTATATTTGTAATATTAAAAATCCTAAAAAAAAAATGCAATACATTTTAACGGATGAAATTTTACTGCATTAGTAAGAAAGTTTAACAATTAATTATTGTTAAGTGATGCTCGATGCAAAACTATTTGAAAATCACATTGCTAACGTTTATATAGGTTAAAAACACAATATGCATAAATAACATAAAAGAAATTGCTGCTATGAATTAATCTAACTCAATTTCCTCAAATTCATAATCGGATATTACAATTCAAAATGTCCCTAATTTAATCAAAATACAATCGAATGTAAATCTATTTTTGTCAGTTTAAGATTAAAGTTACTTGCGTAATACTCTGTCACGTTATAATCTTTTTTTTAGATCCATTAAATGATTTGATATACTCGTATATATTTCAAATGGAAACGTTCTCAAAAAAACAATGACTTGTCTTTATAAGGCATCGTATTCGAAATGTATATAATAAAGACAAATGTGTTGCAAAAACGTAACAATACACGGAGTAATTTATTAAATCACTTTCAAAATTAGTTGGCATGAGTCACAATTAGATATCAAATTTGTTTCTGTATTTTTTTTTATTATAATCATATATGATTTAAACTTATATAAGATTATCACCGTCATAGGGGACGCCCAAGCCATGGTTAACACCAATAATATATATATAAAAAAAACACATTTTAATACATTTATTCAAGGTGAAGCAGTTGAAACCTTAATGGTTATAAATATAATTTCTAACTTTATGGAAGGAAAAATTTACAGAAGATTTATAATAATTAATTGTTATATATACTTTAATGGGGAAGATGATTATCAGTATCTATTGCTGGTAAACAATATATACCGTTTTACTGTATTCACAATAAGAATATTAACAGCAACTTAAAATTTAACCTAAAATTCCTCGAAACAGTATGACGTTTCAGAATTTCTCAAGGATAGATGGCTTACCTAGATTTTGAAATTTGTTATGTTCAATGTTTTTATTTTCGTTTATTGAGTAAGCTTTTCTTGTGTTTAGTCCGAGTGACACTGGCATTTTTTTTGTACGGTACTGACATGCATGTAGCCAAATTATTTATAAGTTTTGCATATTTCAACCTCATTTCATAAAACAAGTTTACATTTAATGAGCGAGGCTCCTACTAATTTTAAATTATAAAAATAAGACAAAAAATAATACCCTCATGACAAAATAGTGGTATCGCCCTTGATTTATTTGGTATATCAACTGGCTATACTTGATGCATTAAACACTTAATTATTATCAATTTCAAATCTACAAAGAAGGCAAAAGGATAAATCATAAACTTAGAAAGAGACACCATCAGTTCTTAACAAAGGTGATCTATTTATTGTTTTATTTGTAAATTTCTAAACAATTATTTTTTTTTTTCAAACGATATTTATGTAATAACCAATAAAGTATCTAGTTCACGCTGACAATAGATGAGTAACGCAGCGTTATATCGAGTTGAGAGGTTTGGTTGCTTTTAAGAAAGCATAATCTAACATTTTCGTTGTGGCCTGTTATCACAATATGGAATTCCTTGCATTGCTTTTGTATAAAGCGATGACTTTGTTGTGTTTGATAAGTCCAGGTAAGCAATGTAAATGTTTTAAAACTAATTCTATTCACAACTTCATAGAACAAAACAAAATCTTAGAAAAATGACTAAATAAAGAAAAAATTAAAAACAAA